ACAAAAGCGTCGGCCTACAAAAGCGATCGACGAAATAAAGAAATTTAGCTTTTTGCGGCAAGACTGTCTCAAAACTGAAAAAACCAAGGGCGTCATGCTCTGGAGATTATTTTTAAGAATCAGACTTTTGGCGAAAACCGCACGTTGATCGATGCAGCCATTAAAAAAGCCTTTTGAATAGCAAAATTCGGCCACCACAAATAGATAATAGATAACATCTGGTTTCTGACTTCATGGTCTGAGTAATTGTAAACGACCAAAAATGTCAGATAGAACTTTGTAATTTTGAGGTAACGTTGTGTCTTATGTTAGAATAATTCTAGACGTGCATTCTGACAATTGTTTGTGGTTTACTATCATCAAGCTCATAATTGATCTTACTTTGACTTTGAGCAACACAAAAGAAAGGGGAAAGGCGCCACGTCCACATCAAAAGTACTGCGCATTTTAAACACTTTTTATGTCAGGGCTTTGATGCTGTTCTGGTATGGACGTCTTGTTCTTGTACTTGTTTTTTTTTTCTTCTTGTTCTTCTTCTTCTTATTCTGACATTATTTTACCTTTCACTTGAATATACCGATGTAGCTCATGATAATAAGCACATTTCGAAGCGAGGTTTTTTATAAAGAACTAAGAGCGACGGCCATGACATAGTACTGTCTAGGCGTATACGTCTTAGGTTTAGGCTCAAAATTAGGGAAGTGTTACGTCAGTTCGGCTTGGCCATTCTGTTAACATGTTGTTCAGCCGGATTAACTTTTGTCGTGAATCGTTAATTATAGCATGTCGTGTAATATTTTTCAAGTCATCTTTGCACAACCTAAACTGCTTTGCGCACCAATTAGATGTAGATTAACCTCGTCTGTGTTGTTACGTATATGAGGCATGGAAGAGAGAGATAGAGTTGCCTCAGTCTGACCTTGTGTCCTTGGGCAAGACGCTTTACACGGAATTTCCTCACTTTAGCCAGATGTGATTGGGTTCCCAGCCTTAGACAGCGAATGATCTTGTCCGTATGCTAGTGTTTTAGCGCCTTTAAAATGGCAGGTTGCACTTCACGCTTCCACACGAAGTTGAGATTGTCTCAGAATACTATCAGGTCTGCTGGGGTAATGATAATTACGACAAAATATAGATTGTAAAGCTCATAAATCTTGATGTTGAGAGGGAATTTACGCTATACAAATGTCATCTAAGCTTAGCATTATCCCTGTTTGTATTTCTCACTCGTATGATCTGACAGAAAAGGACGTCATAGCTCCAACAGACAAGATCAAAAGATTTACCACAAAAATTTCCCGCACTGTGTGACACGTATT